GAACTGCTTGGTTAGCCAGCCCCCCTGCACCAGAGGGCCTGGCCTCCAGAACTGTGTGTTCGCCCAGCCCCCCTGCACTAGAGGGCCTGGGCTGCTGCACCGCTTGTGGACTACTCAGCCCCGCACCGAAGGGACTGAGAGCTGAGTTAATAGACTGTTTATTGCGTGGACAGGGAGTCGGTGTGGCTCCCCTCCTGCCCTGGAGGGTCGAGCCCCGGCAGGAACCTTTTACACGTGGCAACGTATCTTGTCTCACCTTGAGCCCATGGGAAGGACAGATGGTGTGCACGGTACATTCAAATACAATGCAAATCTCTTGGGAAGTATTTTTGAGTGCCACCAAGGAGTCATCTCTGGCAAGGGATGATTTAGCAGTGCCCAGAGAGTGGGTAATCTGCTTCTGAGGTATGCTAGTCATCTCTCTTCGGTTTGGTGGTGGAATTTAGAGCTTCCTCCAACCCTTCACTGTGTCAGATGTGCTCAAAGCATGTGTGTCCGGGATAAGTCAGTCACTTCTTATACCTACACAGGAGAATCTGCACAGGTAAGATAGGTGCCATAGAAAGATTTCAGGCCTACTTGCAGTTTTTCAGTTTCTTTCCAAAGAAGTTTTAAATATAGCACGGTATGTCAGTAAATGTTCACTCTTTTTCCAGTTTACAGCAGTTTGTTGTTTCTTTTCAGAAAATAAGCTTGCCCTATATATTATCACAAAATACAAATCAGATTTGTATATGATGACTTTGTATACTTTTTATATATATTTTTGCTCTAATATTGTACAAGCACGTCTTTACCTACAAGAGCTCACCTACCTGACAAATACAACCAGGAGAGGAGACTCATCTGGTAGTCCCCAAACATATTTTCATTTTATATATAGTGTGTTCTGTAACCGTCCTAAAGCCTTGGACATATACAAAATGCATTCAGAGGGGCAGCCTCACCAGGGTGATGTTTAGCAGTGGGAGAGGGTTGCTGTTTTCCTTAACCTAGAAGAATCTGTTGGAGAAGTAAAGTTTTAATTTATGGCTGGATCATTATACGAACCTGCCAGTGAAAGTTTTGATATATACCGTACTTGTTTGCTTTAACCTTTTATAGGTTAAAAAGGGCACAAAGGATTTTAAATAAGAAAAAGACTGTGCTACGGTATAGTCATTACAGAGTAAACATCATCTGTTACAAATTAACTAATCACTTTGAGAACTATTCTAAAAGACAATTGCTAAAGAGTTATGGAGAGCCGGAAATAGAAATGTTGGTTGAAACTTGACAAAACAAAACAAGTGCATTTACCTGAACTTTGGCAAAGAAGATAAAGGCAAAACACTTTATAATTTCATGGGATGACTGAAGACATCATAGGATGTATAAACCAGAAACATTTTCAGTAACTGAGTAATAAGAATAGAAGTGTTTCTCTGATATTTATGTGTGGAGTGTTTATTTTCTGGGAAAGACCCATTTTATTAAGTATATTTTTCCCAAGGAGTGGAAAGAGAATAATCTTTAGGTGAAAATGTTTTAAATTGTACTAAATGTCCCATGTTTCCTGGTCAATCATAACCAGAACAAGCCAGTTGTTGGTCACCATCTTGATGCCTAAAGGGGAACCTTACTTGTGTTCAACAGGTTGTTACAGTGTTTGTGTCTGAGCATGTGGACTAGAACAATTTTGGAGGAAATTATGTAACTGAGAACAGTAAGGTTGAGGTCTATTCCTGTATACATGAAATATCCTCCCTTTGGCTTTCTGTCTCTGTCAAATAGATGAATATACATTTGTATTTTCACTGGTCTAATATATTTTACAATTTCACTTCAAGTTTATATCTACGTTTGATAGTACACCAGGGGCTCACTTCCTTGTCTTAGAGTCTAGATCTTATTCATTTTGGGTCATGTTGTGGTTTTTTTTTTTTTTTTTTTATGGTAAATATATTTTAAAGTATTGTGAGCAGTGCTGTTCTACATGGTTCTTCATTCATATTCATAAGAAATTAATCCACTTCATCAATACCTCTGCTCTATCATAGTTAAACTACGCAAGTTTTTAAAGTTGCTTTTATGTAGCTATTACAAGTTTTGTCCAGAGTCCCATAGAATCATAGAATATCAGGGTTGGAAGGGACCTCAGGAGGTCATCTAGTCCAACCCCCGGCTCAAAGCAGGACCAATTCCCAACTAAATCATCCCAGCCAGGGCTTTGTCAAGCCTCACCTTAAAAACCTGTAAGGCCTGGTCTACACTACGAATTTAGGTCGACTTTAGCAGCATTAAATCGAATTAAGCCTGGACACGTCCACACGACGAAGCCCTTTTTTTCGACTTAAAGGGCCCTTTAAACCGGTTTCTTTACTCCACCTCCGACGAGGGGATTAGCGCTAAAATCGGCCTTTGCAGGTTGGGTTTGGGGTAGTGTGGATGGAATTCGACGTTATTGGCCTCTGGGAGCTATCCCACAGTGCTTCATTGTGACCGCTCTGGACAGCACTCTCAACTCAGATGCACTGACCAGGTAGACAGGAAAAGCCCCGCGAACTTTTGAATTTCATTTCCTGTTTGCCCAGTGTGGAGAGCACAGGTGACCACGCAGAGCTCATCAGCACAGGTAACCATGATGGAGTCCCAGGATCGCAAAAGAGCTCTATCATGGACCGAACGGGAGGTACGGGATCTGCTCGCCATATGGGGAGACGAATCAGTGCTAGTTGAACTCCGTAGCAGTAAACGAAATGGCAAAATATTAGAAAAGATCTCAAAGGCCATGAAGGACAGAGGCCATAACAGGGAAGCACAGCAGTGCCGTGTGAAAATTAAGGAGCTAAGGCAAGCCTACCACAAAGCCAGAGAGGCAAACAGAAGGTCCGGGGCAGAGCCGCAAACATGCCACTTCTACACGGAGCTGCATGCGATGCTAGGGGGTGCAGCCACCACTACCCCAACAGTGTGCTTTGACTCCGTCAATGGAGAAACACGCAACAGGGAAGCGGGTTCGGGGTACGAGGAAGATGATGATGAAGACAATTAAGAGAGCTCACAGCAAGGAAGCGGAGAAACCGGTTTCCCCAACAGCCAGGATATGTTTATCACCCTGGACCTGGAACCAGTAACCCCCGAACTCACCCAAGGCATGCTCCCACACCCTGAGGGCACACAAGGGACCTCTGGTGAGTGTAAGGCAGGAAAGGCAGCAGGAGCAGAGACCGCCGCTACAGCCCCTGTGTAACTAACAGCCCTCCTCCCCAAGTCCCATTGCCTCCTCACCCAGACGCCCAAGAACACGGTGGGGGGGCCTCCGGCCACCCAGTCACTCCACCCCAAATGATTGCCCGAGCATCGGAAGGCTGGCCTTCAATAAGTGTTAAAGTTTTAAAGTTTTAAACTGCAGTGTGTCCTTTTCCTTCCCTTCTCCCCCACCCATCCCGGGCTACCTTGGCAATTATCCCCCTAGTTGTGTGAGGAA